GGCCAATAAGGAGCGCGGCGGACGCAGGGGGGCGGGCGCAAGCGGTTTCTCGCGTCGCGCTCCGGGCCGCTCCCTCCTCCGCCCCCGAACCCCGCGAAGCAGCGAGCCCCACGAGCCCCTAACAGAGGAAAAGGACGCTCACCGTCCCTTGGTCGCCGTTCCGCGCTTCCGGATGAGCTCATCCAGCGAGATGTCGGCCATCTTGTGCCGCCAAACCTAGCGGAGAACGGAGAAGCCGTCAGCAGCGAGCCCGCCCCTTGGCCACTTACGGAACGACGAGCAGCTTCCGACACCCGGACAACCAACTCTCGCGACAGTTCTAACGACGCTCAGAACGGGAGGGGGTGGGGCCGCTCCCCGTGAGCCTTTGCGGTGCCCACTTCTAATCTGCATATAGAAGGCCGGAGCGTGGTGGATTCTTTTTTTCCTCCTTTTACAAAGGAAGAGATAACAGGATGTAAATTGAAACCATTAGAAAACTTTCGCGTAAATAAGTTTATGAGTTGACCGTTCCGGGACTCACCACATTTGAGATGAGAATATAATTCCTTACCCCTAAGGAACGACGATTGGCTCCTTATGCCTTAAACTTATGAGTAAGGAAAATAACGATTCGGGGTGACGCCCGAGTCCTCACTGCTAATGTGAGAAGAATTTTTGCGCGGGTAAAGGTTCCCCCCTAAGGCGACCCGCCTACTTTGCGGGATGCCTGGGCGAGGCAATCTGCCCGACCCCATTCATGCTAAAGAAAGTTAAAAAGATGACAAACTGCTTGGGGATGGTGCTGTGTAACCCTCCGTCCCGCGGACGGACTACAAAAGCAGGCTGTCGCCCTATTGGGAATTCCGTTCCAACTGTACACGAGCATACTAAGAAGCAAGTGTCACCCTGTGAGGAATTCCTTTCCTTTTGATGACTTCCTCCAAACATGGAGCGATTTGATTTTTCCCACCAATTCCACGTCTAAGTTAGGGACCGAAAATCAGCTTCCAGGAGCCTCAGGTCTCGTCTCGGAAGAGCAAAGACTCGCTAGCTCATATGGTGGAAAACCAAGGCAGAAAGGGTTTGGGC